TGAAAATATCTGGCAACTAGTACATCATCTGCTTCCTCTGTAGCCCAAGTGCCGCAGAGCAGCCACTCAGGTAATTTGTTTGGTATCCAACAGTGCAATGGTTAATTGTAGTGCTCCCGGTATCGCGTGTGCAGCCTCCAGAAGTGCAGTCACCCAGTGATGCTCCTGCTTCCCCAGTGCAGAGCTCAGACTGCGGCCCAGCTCCTGCCCTGCTCTGCATCCACTCATGCAGTAAAAAAAGGTGTGGGGGGAAAGGGTTTTATTTGCTAGAACTTTTATTCTTTGAAGAAGAAATAGAAGAGAAAATGACTTGGGAAAATGCAACTGTGCTCTTCAAGAGCCGCTGGCTCCCGATGCCACTCTCCTCTTTGCCCTCCTGGAATTGCCTTGAAATAACTTAAATGAAGCTGCGCTGCTCGGGGGCTGTCGGGTTTGTTGGACCTCCTTGGCAATCAATTTAACCTCCTGGAATCATATTATTTCTGCTGCCTGAAGTTGCTGAGTCAGTGATGGGCGGCCAGGGGCTGCCTGCAAAGCTGGTCTTGGTCCTGCTTCCCCATGGAGCCACATAGGACTTCTGTCCTGTACAGAGCTGAAGGCAGAATGAGGCACCTCTCGCTGTTCCTCCACCTCGCTATTTCTGGAAGGGGCACTCGTGGATGCTGTGGTTTAAAGTGACCTGTGTGTGACCATGCTGTCATCAGCCAGGGGTGGGACACCCTTTGGGGGCAGCTGTGGCTGTGTGCACTGAGCGTAAACCAGCTACAGCTGTCCTGCTGCACTCAAAGGGCAGGGAAAGGAGCAGGATGCTTTGGCATCTCAAAGGACTTTCCCTGCCCCTTGGGTGGAGCAGACAGTTTAGCTTCCTGCTGACTCTAACAGAGAGAAATACACTGTGCTCTCTCACATTTGTCCCCTTTGGGGCTTACCTGTCTTTAGAAGAACCCTTTATAGCTGCAGGTGGCATTGGTTGACATTGGCAGGGTACAACCATGCATGCAGCCGGTGAAAGGCATCCCTCCTACCCGTCGGAGCTTCACCGTGCTTCACACTGCAGCAGCTTTCTCTCTACAGCTGATAAGTACTCATCCCAGAAACAAATGATCACCAAGTGGAGGATACAGAGAGCTGTTCACAGAAGAAGGGAACTGAGAGCACTTTGTCTGTGTCTGCCTCTCTTCCACCTCAGCTGGAGGGATCTGCCCAAGCAGCTAGCTGAATACTGTGCTCAGTAATTATTAACTCCATGAACATTTCTCTTTTACTTTGTTTTGCCTGCAGATAATGAAGTGTGAGAGCCTTCTTTAGCAGCCTCTCAATCCGCGCTGCTCCCAGTTGATTTCAAAGCTGGAACAGAGGATGGGACCTGCCTTGAAATGATGTGACCCAGGAAGATGTCACCCAGAAAGAACACTGTGCTCTGAGAAAAGCCATCCAACCTGAAAATTCCTCCAGATTAAACCCAAAAGGCAGCTGCAGTGCAAGGCTGTCTTGAGGGGCTTTACCTGGAAAAGTGGTCAAAAGAAGAGGAATAAGAAACACATTTGCCAAGTTCATAAATCTGTGACCTTGAGACGTAGGCCACCAAGGCAACCCTGGCTTTGGCAATAGGGTCGCAGCCCAATGGCACATGGGGACAACCGCAGCAGCTTGGAAATGGACCTTTGATGAGTTAAGACATTTCAAGGAGAGGTTTGCTGGTGTTTGGGTGTTTGCAACTAAATTCTGCTTTCGTTTCCACCGCAGCATATAAAGCCAATGAAGTAAATTAAGTTATAGGTGTTCCCCATCTGCACCGGTGGCTCATTGCATCCAAATAGTGCAGTGAGTCAGGGCTGGGTCTTGGTACGTCCTGCACCCACACCATTTGCAAACTGCCTGTCCCTATTGCTCTCCTCCTCTATCAAGTCCTGCTGCTTGTATGCAGGGAAATAACTCCTGCGACTAGGATACTAGGAAGGAAAACAGGAGTGATGGGACCCCCCTCTTGCAAATCCAGTCCTGTTCCTCTTTTTCCCCTTGTAAATGTGCTCTGATGCCGACAATCAGGCTGGAAGAGTTTGGGCCAGCACAGACATGTGTAAAGTTTTATTGTCATCACAGCAGAGAGGTGTGTGCATGGGGAATATATTCTTCATATAGCTAAAATTCAGGTACCTTTTATTTCCTTTTATCACTCTTCATGCGATGCCAGCAGCTCGGATTGCTGCTGCCTGCAGCCTTAGGTGTGCATTAGCTTCCATTTGATTGCTGTACAGCAACTCTTCTTATCTTTGAGAATTAACCATTTCATAAGCACAAGAGGAGGTGTCTCGCGACGTGAGCGTAATGCACCAGGCATTGCACCAAAGACTGCAGAGTGCACCACTCTTTCAGTCAATGCTGAGTCTTTGACACCTAGAAGAAAAAGTATATCCCAGCCCTGTCAGATGTACAGAGCAATTATGCAAAGCTGTCTTTAAGAAGGTATTATTCTCAGGACATTTCCCCCCTTTTTTTTTTTGGTGAGAGGCAGTATTTCACAGAGATCCTCACCTTTCCTTTGTCAGATAATTCAGTGCCACTTACAGTAAATTATATTTGAGCAGTTTCATTATCACATCTATGTAAATTCTGCTGCCCTCCAGTAAAGTATCCTCAGGCTTTAAGATGCAAAATGATGTTGTTGCAATAAGGGAGCAAATAAAACAAAGGCAAGACAAGCAAGGTGGTTCCTTTCTCTGCATTGCCTGCATGGGTGTTAATGAGAGTCATCTCCATGTACAGGTCTAGCATCTGGCTGCTCTATTTATTGCAATTGTAGCTTTTTTTGCTTCTTTTCAGGGAGAAATCCAAATCCCATTTGTGCTCTCTTATGACACAACCCCCTGCAAAAAGGAATACATCTATAGCTGAAACAGCCACATGCTTTTAAAGTGCTCTCTTCCCACTAACTAAACACTGTGGGATGTTTCAGGGTGAGATACGAACTTCCCAGCTTCATCTCTTTTCCACTCCCGTATCGTCCTAGCTGCCTGCTGTTGACTCCTTGTAGGTCATTTCCAGCAACATAAGCAACACAGGCAAACAGCAAAATTGCAAGATGCAAATGCCCTTCATTTTTGGCTTTGAGTCAAAAAATAATAAGTTGACAATAACCCTGCCAGAATATGCAGCAAGGGTGACTGCATATTTCTTCCTGCTAGCGTGACAGTACAAGGGAGCTGAGCACCAGGAAGAGACAAGCCTGTGCTCTCCTGGATGCTGCAGCATGTGCCTTGTCTCAGGTTTTAAAGGTTTAAATGATTCCAGCAGCCAGGAGCTCCCTTCCCCTTCTTCAGCAGAAAAAAAAAGGGGGGAAGAACCATGAAAAAAGCAGGTGATATAAAGTTATATTAAAATAATAGGAAATGAAGCACAAATTGGGTTTTTAAAGCTGATGGGGGTGTAGGGAAGAAATGCTTTTCTGGGTGATGTCTCTGGTGAAGATGAGAGGGCAGTTGGGCACCAGCAGGGTTGGAGCTGAGGGCCTGAACTTGCAGAGCTGGTCTTCAGCTCCTGCTGTATCCAAAATGCCATCCAGGCATCTCATGAGCCCCCAGATACAGCTGGTGGAGTCCTCTGTATCAGCACCCAGGGTTTTGCACCTCAGGACATACTTGTTTCTTGCTGCAGCCTGTTCATGATCTCTGCATTCCCTCCACCATCCCTTTGCATGCAGTTGGTCCAGCTTCGATGCTGACCTGTCTCATGCTTTCCTTCCCTTCCAAGCCTCCCCATCTCCAGCCATCCCTCTGTAACTGCTCTTTCAGCATTGGCATCCTCGGAGGTGAAGGTTTTGAGGTGGGTTCTCAGGTGTCCTTCCTTCTCTCCAGAGAGCCAGAGCTTCCCACCAGAGCCAGTCCCTTGGCACAGAGGCTGAAGGCCCTGCTGCTGTGCCACCCTCTGCAATGATGGTGTGGACATCCCCATGGTGGGAATAGACTCAATGACTGCATGAACTCCTGCATCCCTTAGAGGTCAGGATCTGGGACTCACCAATGATCCCAAGATCTTGAGTTGAAAGTATCAGGATGCTGCTATGATACTGCATGCAAGAGGAAGAAGCAATGAAGTCTGGCCATGGAGGGATGCTCATCTTCCAGCATTCAGATTTCTCCCAGTTAAGCCCATCTCTGATTAAACTGAGGTCCAACTCCAGCCCCAGAGGCTCTTTATCTCCAGCCAGGAGGAGACAGTGGAGAAGAATCCTGCAGTGAGCAGCACTTTAGGAGTTTGTGATAGATGCCATCTACCTCATTACCGAACAATGAAACTTTATTGTTCCCTCTGTTCTATTGATTTTTATGTCTCCAAAGTGTGCTGAAATGAGTATCTGTCAGAGGGGGACCGCTTTGCTGATCTGCATCTTTGAAGTGGATATCCATGGATCAAGCCCTGTGGCTGCTGTGTCTCGGGGAGGGGAGGGCTTCCCCAGTGCCTCCTCGGGGGGCTGCAGGGGCTGAGGCTCTGGTGGGGGTTTATCCTTCCAGGGCACCTGAGAGAAGGATGTACCTACCTGTGGATGCGGTGGGGAATACAGCACCATAGCATCTTTGCTGGAAAAAAAGCAGCATTTTGGCCAATATCCATGAAATTAGGCATGAACTTCCCCAAATTAGCTTGGTTTAGAGATCGAGGCTCCATGAATGGAGACTTCAGTGTAAACCCTGGCTTGTGGCAGTGCTGTGCTTTGCAGCCCCTCTCCATGAGTGCTGGGAGGGGACCCCACATCTCCAAGAGTCTCCCCCAGATGCGCACGTCCTCGGTGTGTAGCCACCCTGCCTGCATCCTAGATTAAATACATGTCTCATATGTTTCAAGTTTGTATACAGCCCTCAAGCAGGGAAGCATTTGCCCTGCAGCCTACACATACATATATGGGAACTTCACAATTAGTTAATATTTTATGCATAATTCATTAAATTATACTACATTTTCTGGGAATAATCAGCTGACTCAGTGCTTCTAATGAACTGCAGGTTCTGCTATGACAAACACATTGGGTGACCCCATGGGACAGCAACATGCAGGCGCCTTTAAGCAAAGTTCAAGCAGCTCCTAAATTAACCAAAGCAAATCCCCAAAGATGCAGTGTTTATGCACTGAAGCAAGAAGGGAGGGCTCTCATCTCACTGGTCTTGTCAGCCCCTACAGCCCAAGAAGCAAGAGAGAGAAAGTAAGAGCTATTTACCTTGTGCTAATAGGGAGCTGGGCAGCTCAGGTGAGACTTAACTCCTTTTCCTTTATTTGAGTTATTGCATGGAGCTGGCATGGAAGTGATCCCCAGCGTGGAAGCCCTCAGATGAAAATGGATATAATTAGCAGCAAGATTTTCAGGCTTAAATCACCAACTCTTCTTAAAATTCTGGTCTGAATTGAAGGAAAATCTATTTGAACTGTTCTGGTTTTGGAACTAGATGAGCTTGAAGGTCCCTTCCAATCCAAATCATTCTATGATCCTATGAATCTATGACAGCCTTTTCATTTTGCTTCTCCCTTTTGGGCCAAATGAGTGATACAAACCCTGGAGCAAAGCCAGCACCCCAATGGTGTTTTCAGAACCCAGCTGCTGCCTGCTCCCACGCAGGGCCCCTTGCTCTGTTGGCATTCACCTATGGTATCAAATGCAAAGCAGTGATCCCAAAGCAGGAGATCATCTTCTTCTACCCCTCTCAGCCTGGCTGCTCCATCCGACCTGCATCAGTGCTACAACCATGTGCCATGATGCTGGATGCTGGCAGCATCTCCAGAGCACACAATTCTCCCAGCTCATGCTTCCTGCTCCTGGATGTGGGCAGAAACAAGCAACTCACTGAAGATGACCTCAGGAAGCTGGAGATCTAACACACTGCTGCCAGTAGTCTAAACTATTTTCCCTAGACAGAATGCTCGCTAACTGAGGGGGCAGAGTGAGCCTGTCCTGCAGCAGGCGTGTGTCCACCACCAGTAATCAACTTTAAGTGGAGGGCTGCAAACTGGTAAGTATAAGGATGCTGGGGAGGGACTCTTCATTAGGGACTGTAGTGACAGGACAAGGGGTAACGGGTTAAAACTTAAACAGGGGAAGTTTAGATTGGATATAAGGAAGAAGTTCTTTCCTGTTAGGGTGGTGAGGCACTGGAATGGGTTGCCCAGGGAAGCTGTGAATGCTCCATCCCTGGCAGTGTTCAAGGCCAGGTTGGACAGAGCCTTGGGTGAGATGGTTTAGTGTGAGGTGTCCCTGCCCAAGGCAGGGCGCTTGGAACTGGATGATCTTAAGGTCCTTTCCAACCCAAACTATTCTATGATTCTAAGTATATGAACTGCATGTGCCTCTTTGACTCTTAAAAACATTAGATTTTCAACTCTGTCATAGGTACAAAGGAATACACGGAGTAAAGCTCTGCATGTCGGGGATGAGCATGTTAAGGCAGAGGATGATGACACCTGCCTGGTTGAGTTTAGGCTGACAAAATTCAGCAGAGAGACCTCTGGAAGGAGAGAAAAGGATGCTCAGGAGAAGCAGCGCTGGCAGGGCCTTCCTCAGAAGCATACCTCATTTCTTTTAATTAGGTTATAACTCAATTACGAATGCAAGGCTCTTCATTCCTGACAAGTTTTCCATAATCTTAATGTGATCTCATGTCAGAAGGGTACCTTCCTCTGATAACCAAGCCCAGCTAAGAGTTTAAGTAGAATAATAGCTGATTAAAAGGGGTTAATAGATACACCTCAAACAGAAGTAAATTAATGGGAGACGCTGTCTGTTGGCTAATGGGATCAGAACCGTATTTGTTTAGTTTATGAATGATTAATCTCCCTCTCTTGGCATTCCTCAGATGCTAATTGCACTTAGGGAGCCCGTGTTTGTTTTTACAAGAGCTGGATGTGGCAGAGGGAAGGCAATGGCTGGCCCAAAGGGGAGCTCCTTCACCCTGTGTAATGGGCTCTTGGCACAGCCAGGGGGAATACCAGTAAACCCACGCTAAACCAGAGCTGACCCCAAACGTGGGAAAGTCTTCAATTACAGATATTAGTAAAGTCATTTGAGGTATCTGTAAAGCACACAAATGCAGCCAGTGCTGAGACTCATCCCACCCTCTTGTGCGGGGAATTTCACACCACGACACTTGGATTTTTCCCCATGGAAATACTCCAGGTTGATCACAGGAAAGCTAAAAGAAGTGCCAAAGGAGGGAACCCACTTCTCACGGCAACTTCTGCATCTGACAACTGGGAGAAGGAGAGCAGAAGCATTTGTCAGAAGTGCTGGGGGGGAAGCAGTAATTGCCTGGAAGCAGCCACAGATGCGGGGCTCATTCCAGTTGCTGCTGCATCGCTAAGAGGTAACCAAATCATTTTCTTTCTGCATACTTGTCAGCTCCATTATCTTTGTACCTAACAACACAAATGTGCTATCTCAGCCATACTGTGAATTTACTAGCAAACAAACCGTTTTAAAAAACAATAAGAAACCCAAAACAAAACGAAAAGAAAGGGGTTTTCATCCCATGCTTAGCAAGCAGAAGGCATTTTCTAAACCAAGCCCTGCCAAGCGGGGTCCCCAAGCCATCGAGGTACCAAAGCATGTGCCACCCAAGTCAGCTGGCATCACCCAGCCCAAGCCTGAAGCATGTTTGCAAAGGGCTTACTGAATTTGGAGCCATAAGGAGCAGTCTTAGAAGGCGGGTACCCATCCTGAGCGCAGCGTCCTTGCAGTGATGAATTAAGTGGTCTTTGGAAGTCACTTGCAGAGATCAAGATTTGGGCTCACCAAACTGCTGAGCTGTGATAAAGGCCAGTTCTTGGCTCAGTTTAGTCTGAAATGTCCCAGGTGATGGTGGGGTTTGACTTTATGGATTATTAGGACTCATTGATGACAAAATTGATGCAGTGGTGAGCAAGACTGGGGTGTTCATCCATTCCTTGACTTTACCAAGGGATGGATGTCTGAAAGACATGTTGAACACTGGGAAGACCAAGCCAACACCACTTCTACATAAGACCTTTTTTTTAAGTTTGGGATGAATTGAAATGATCTGAGGGAAACCTCATTTTAATCATAAAACCCTGCTGTTACCAAAATTGCACACTAAGAGAGGGGATGCTCTTTTACTATTCACCATAAATAACATTACTTTGCACTGTTCCCAGGTATTTCATTCATCACTGTATCATACAGAAAACCTGAGCTGAATAAAACCTTCTGAAAGAAGATGAGGAGACCCATTCTGCCCTATAGATTGCTTTGCATTTACTGAAGCTGTTCTTTTTCTCTGCCTGCTTTCCACGAACAGGGACAATAAACCATATATGAGGAGGGGTGAACTTCTGCTTTTTGCCAAACAGCACTGGAATAAATTCCCAATTAAGGGAGTCACCTAGAAATACTGGGCTTAATAAATTGATGGATTATTGGCTTTCCAGCTGGATGGTGCAAGCAGCACTCTCCAAGACGGGGGGAAGCTCTGGCAAGGCAGGTTTTGGCTGAGCTCTGATGGGCAGAGAGGGGGTACAAAGCTGTGAGAGCCTTTTTAAAGCCTGGGTGAGGTGTTCAGGTGTAGCTTGTTGCTGGAATATGGGAGGAGCTGGGGAGTGGAGAAGCACCTGAGCATTTATTAAGTACCCCCATCTATCACCTTCCTGAGCCATTTGATGCCCCAAGCTATGAGTGTTTGCTGTCCAAACCGAACCCTAGCTGAGTTCTCCGGAGAGCTTATAAACCCGATGAGATGGTTATGAGCATGAGGGATGTAAAGATGTGGCATCCAGCAAACTCACCTTTGCACTTGCAAGGACTATGACCTGCCTCTGCCCTGCTAAGTGAAGTGGATCTTGTGCCTGGATCTATAAGAGGTATGAGCACATATGGGTCAGGTATGGGGTGGTTGTGCAAAAAGGGATAAAGACTCACCCAAAGGTAGCACTGGAAGCGTGGGTTAGAAGTGGTGACAGGTCTTGTGTGCAGTGATTGAGCTTTGGGACCCTGTGGATAGAGGGAAGCCTGTGGTGATGGGTGTTCCTTGTAAGGGACTAGTTGAGTAAGTGGTGCCTCTCTAGCCCTCTCCCGCATGCTGAAGACCCAAACCTGCCTTTGTACAGCAAGAGCAGCCTCCAGGCAGCAGTTTAAAAACACTCTGGCTTTTGCAGGAGCTTACAGCTGCAGGTAGATGCCTTGTGAGGCTTTCAGAAGTGCCTAGGCATGTAAAGCACCTCATTCCCAGTGCAAATGCCACCAGGTGTCTGCCTGCATCATTAGGCACCTAATTGCCTCTGAAACCCGGCTCCTGGGAGCGGGGCGGCTGCTGCCTGTGGCACCTCAGCAAGGCAGCACAGCTCCCACAGGATACAAAGCCCTCATCCTCTTTCCTGTGTCCTGCAGGCTTCCCCCTGCCTCAGTTTCCTCACGCAGCAGGTAATTATTCACACACCTTCAGAAAGCCCTTTGAGATCTGCTGATGAGCTGTGTTGGAGAGAAAGGTGGTACCAAAGGGCTGATTATTGCACTTGATGCTAAAAATGCCCCTTTACCTAAAGCACAGCATGGCACTGACCCCAAAGAATTGGGAGCAGGGTTAAAAATGCATCCCAGCAGAGGATGGCAGGAGCTGCCCTTTGTGTATTCATGTTTCTCACTTGTCCTTGCACCAAGGGGCTAAAGGGCAACAAAGTTTTTGCTTCTCATGCAGTGACGAATGGCCTGGCCAGGTAACAAATTCCAGGCTGGAATATGCCTCCTCAGCAGCCCAATGTGTGATTGCAGTGGGCTTTGCATTAATTTGTGGAATGTCGTGTTTAAATTGGTTTTACAGTTCACTGGGAGCGTGAGGCTGCAGCCTCAATAGCAAGTGATGCTCTCACACAGCCAGAGGAAATCATACTGGAAACTGTCTCTGTTGCTGACGCCTCATGACTGGACCTGGGAGCAGGGACTAACCCAGGTGTAAGTTACTAAATGCATACATACTGTGAGCAAAGAGCATCCTTTTGGCTTAGATGACTTAAGCACCATCCATGAAAAACTTAATCAGCAAACCAAAGAAATGACCCAAATGGCACAAACTCCACAACACACTTAAGCACAAACCCTGGAGACTCCAGTTAACTCCTCCCCTGTCTGAAGGAAAGGTCCTTTCCCATCTGAGCAGGTCCATGTTTGCTCAGGTTAAATGTTAATGCAGGTTTAGCAGAAGCCTGTGCGTGCCATCAGCATCCCCTGGACCACAAGGTGAGCTGGTCCCCGCTGCATTCTGTTACTGAATCCCACCTGGTTAAAGCGTGGTCACACATCAGACGTGTCTGCAAAACCCAACAGCTTCCTACCCCGCAGACCTGCATGTTCACCCTCAAATCTGCTGACTTTAGGGCTAAAATATGTCTTTTATTACATTTTGCCCCTTTTAGCACAGCCACCACAGCAGTGATTTCAGGCTAGGAGCTGGTTCCCTTCCCATCGCTATGTCCCACAAGTGGGATGAGCTATGGCTCTTCTTCACCCCCAAAGCCCAGGGTGAGCTTGCTGAGCTGCCAGCCTGAAAGCAAGCAAGCAAAGTGGAAAAACAAAGAGAAAGAAACGAAACCCCTTCATTTCTGTCATGGCTTCTTTTTTTCACCCTGGAAAATGATCTAGAGCCAATAAACCCAGAATCCCACAAGGGCAGTAATGGCAAGTCACTTTTCCAAGTGTAATCACACTTGGAGAGACAAATATCTGCAGCATGTCTGCATGGGCAGGATTCATACCTGAGAGCTGCCAGCCTCCTCCAGCCCCTTCAAACCATCCAAAGGCTTTGAGAGACCTTGGCACGGACCGGCTGGTTCCCCCTTGGTTGGGTTTTATTTAAGTCTTTCTCTTAAGCAGCCCCTGCTCTCAGCAATCATTTGCTCTTCATTCTAATATGTCTCTTAACAGGCAGGAGGCTGCGCTGAGCTCCACGCGATGTGTCCATCATCTTAGTCCAGGCATTTTAATTGACACTGCAGTAAAAAACCTGGCACCCAACATTTTCTCCTTCGAGCCACAATGGAGAGGCTGTGCCAAAAGTTCGACCGTGCTCGTTTCCCTCTTCCATTTGGGGGGTGCACGTGTGGGAGAAGGGCATAGGAAAGAACCCTCCCCCCCCCCCCCCAACCCAGTTTTGGATGTCAGTTTTTCATTACATCAACCCAGCTGGCATGGCTCTCCTGAATGCGTGTCTGTCTGTCTGTCCAGTGGAGCTTTGCAGCACACAGGAATAGAGATGATCTATCCTGAAGCACTGACTGTTTCCCCTAGGACTAGTAGTAAATATGGGTTGCTTTGCGTGAGGAGGTTGCTCCGGTACAAAGGGGGCTTCCCTTGGGTAGACTTTAGAGCTGGGTTGGGGAAACCTCGGATCCCTCAAGGGATGGGGTCCCCCAGGACTTGTCCCCAGCCTCTCCCCTCCACCCCTGAGTGAGCTGTGGGTTGGTGCAGCCCCGCGCTGAGCTCCAGGAGCCAAGCAGCCGAGGGGACTCCTCTGCTGCTGCAATGCAGGGCTGAGTGCAGGTTGCAGAAAACGAAGGACACACAGACACTGCAGAACCAGGGCCAGAGGCTGGAGGGGAGGATCAGAGCCCAGCACGACACCGCTTTCACTTATCCCATCTTGTGTCCCTTGGGCTGTGCCCATTTCAAATCAATGCCATCCCTAAACAGGCAGCCAGCAAAAGGGCATTTTGGGCACCAGTGCATTTAAGGAGGTGAAGCAGCACAAATGCAACCGGGAAAAGGCAGGACTGACTTGCTCTGTGCTATATTGCTTACCTAATGCCTTGGCAAGAAGCTGGAGCCAATTCATCATTGTTTATCCCCAAAACAGCTATTGCTTTTGCCAAAGAATGGGGAGAGTCACCTCTCCCCCCTCCTGGGGCCATTCGTGCTTTGCTATTCAGAGAGGTAGCGCTAATTCAGCTGGGCAGAGGCAAAATGCACCGATAGGAACACACTGATCCAAAACTCTTCTAAAAACTCCAGAAAAGAGCAAACAAAGGAGTAAAGGCAGTTTTCTTTCTGTCTGGTCTTGCTTATTTATCACTCCCGCTGTTTTCAATATAGACCAAGGAGAGGGCAAAAACGAAACAAAAAGCCATTGTAAGTGGGGAGTTAGCAGCCTTTCCGTTTCTTTTGTGCATGTAAATTGCTCCCATGAATTAGGGTATTTTTGGTTTGGCCAAATTCCCCCAGATTAGAATGGGTGAAAGGGAGAAAAGAACTACTTGGATCAAAATTTCCAAGTTTTCCTGCTTCTCTTTCCTTACCTTAGTCTTGATTTTTGCTGATACCCAGTGGCTTGAGCAACTCCTATACTTTTACTGACATAAACCAGCCCCAGCTTTTTTTCTGCAGCCCGTCTTCAAACCCAGCATAAACAGGAACGTAAGAAATGAACACACCTTCAGAAGATGGAGTGGAAGATAAAAGAGAAGGAGTGAAGTCGTGGACGATATATGTTTGCTATTGCACAGAGAGATGGGGAACCAACCAGCCACGAGGAATAGCATGACGAATTGGAGCCAGCTCGGCAGGTTGCACGCTGGCAATGCCTCAAGGACAAGAAACAAATGATCCACTGCTGTGTTTGTAATAGGATGGAGGGTAAAAGATGGCAGGCAAGGAGAGACGGTCCCGCGGCTGGAAGGAGCAAGAGGGAGATGCTGGTGGAGATGTGAAAATCCACCCATTGGGTTAGGCTTTGGAGAACATTACTCCTTCATTTTTTCCTGTCTGGTTTGCTGTCCTGGGGGAGTAGTTGAGGTTCTGGGCATACACGGAGTGGGATAGAAAGTAACAGGGGGGAAAGGATGGATGGGAAAATAGGGCTAAAGACTCGAGGAGCAGGGAGAGGCTGCTGAGCTGTGGGACGTGAGGTTTCTTCTTAAAGTACCTTGGAGATTCGCAGGGAAAAGGAAGGCTGAGAACAGGAGAAGGGACAGAAGACATCAGATGGACATCAGATGGGACACGGCAGTTTGTGCATGAGGTGTCAGGGAACCTCAGTGTTACGGACCACAAGCGAAGCTATAGGGAGATGGGCAAAAAAATAACACTACCTCAGGACCTGTACTAGTCATGGCAGCTGTCACAGATGTATATCAAAAGCTCCCACAAACCCTGGAAATTTCATTAAGAAGTCCATAATCCCTGGACACATATGGAATTATGACACCCCTCATCCTTCCCTGTGTCAAAATCCTCCAAGCCTCAGCTACCTTAAGAAGTTGTTTATAATAGATCTGAGAGTTTACATCTTCTTAATGCTACCATATAGGGTATTTGCAGCTGGATATATTTGACTGAAATAGTGCATTTTTTATGGTGATCAGGCCTTGATTAAAAAATATTTTTTGTGTCAGACACTTTCTGCCACTGTCTGCCATAAATCAGTTTGTCACATAGATGGCAATGAAATGAGGCGTTTCTTCTCTTAAACACATCCAAGGGGCTTTTGCAGCATCGTCGCATCCATGCTCGGATGTCGGACTCAGTGGTCCTTGCCCTGATGGTCCTTGGAGGGCAGCACTGGAGGGTGTAGGGGAAAGAGACGAGGACTGTCCCGAGCATCACTGGTGTCTTGAGGGTCACAGCAATATCCTGGCACCAGGGCTAAGGACTGAGCCTGCGCAAGCTGCTCACTGCAGCCCTCATCAAGCAACCCAGATCCAAGCTAAATACTTAAGATGCTGATGTGTCCCATCCTGAGCAATAGCTCTGCAGGGCACAGGGCAGTACCTGTGAGTGTCTCTTGGTATTTTAATTAGAAAAAGCCTTTTCTCTTACTGCAATGACTGGCAGAATCCTACAAAGTGATGATGAAACCACTTGTCCTTTCAGCATAAAATTCTCAGGAAAGCTGCTTTGCAAAAAAAAAAAAAAAACAACAAAAAAAACCAAAACGCTTTTTATAGTGAAATATCCTTATTTGTTAGAATTCCTAGCTTAGGAACATGGGATGAGTCGGCTGTGCTGTGGGAACCAGAGCACCAGGCTGGCTCACGGGCCATCCATCTGCCACTCCTCACTTTCAGAGCTTCTCAAGTTTCAGGCTGGCATCTCTGATCCTAAGTCTACTTTAACCATTTTAATAGCACTAAATGGAGTCTCTGTTACTGCCCTTATCTGCTCTCTATGTCTTCCGGGTCATACATGCTTAGTTTACTGTCAGAGACAAGTTTTTACTGCTGTCAGCACTGCAGCGTGGCGGTACCTGCAGAGCAGCAGGCTGCGGGCTCTGCTCTGCCTTCTTCATTGTCAAGACAATTACCACCCGCAATCTGATTCCCGAACATTTGTCTTGTGTTTCTTAATTGGTGCCATCAAGGAAATGCTGGAGGGGAAAAAAATAACCCTACACAGTGCGAAAGAGAAGGGGATGTTTCTATGCTATTTGCAACCCTTTGGTGCAATGGTAATAGTAATTAATATAACTAATAATTAGAATTGCCTGCATTACGTTAAGGATGTGATTTCCTTTGTGCACAGCCAAATCTGAACTCGTTTTCCTTTGGTCACCAGAGTAAAACAGCCTCAGAGGAAAATAAGTCTACAACCAAGGGAAATGCATTTAACTGGGGATAGTCAGAGGCTGCAGTGACCCCCCAGCCTCGCTGCAGATCTGCCTCCAACACATACTGTGTTTTTTTCGGCTGTCTTTAAAATCCTACCAAGCAGAACAATGCAGGTGGAGATGAGAAAAGATGCAGAAAAAATGCACACATGGCTTCGTTTTCACCCCCCTTCCCTCTCAGCCCCGCAGGCTGGATCTGCAGTTTCAGCCGCCCAAGAAAATCTTTGTCAAATTAATAGATTGAAAAGTAGAAAACACCAGCTGAGGGGCCAGGCACGCTTCTGAGATCACCCGCTCGGGTTCTGCACCAGCGGCACTGATGGAATTACTTTTGCTTTACACCAGCATAAATAAAAGCAAGATCAGGGGCACTATCTGGAAGATAAGGATGAAGTTTTACAGCCTTCCTTTTCCTTATCACACCCGGACTTTTGCATACTTTGGGAGTCTAATGCGGAAGGTTGTGCTGGTGCCTGGCTCTCTGGGTTTGGAGGCACTTCTTGTCCCTCCTGCATGTGGGCTCTCATCCCCCTTTTCCTCTAGAAATTCAGAATGTGAGCTGGAAAATGACCAGCTGTTTATGAACAAATGATTTATTAAATCCTGTTTGGCTAAAGTAATTCCTGCCAGCGTGAAGGTGCAACAAATGGAAGATGAATAATCTCCCCTGCAACTCACAGGGACCGCACTCCCCATGTGCTCTGTTACTATATTTAGCACACAAACAGTAAATGCATTCCTATATAGAAACCACTCTCCCCAAAGATCAGTTGGGCAGAGCACTTTGGTGGCCCTGGGTGCGTTACTGGGGTTGCAGGATGCTCGTGGTGGGCACAGTTACCGTAAGCTGAAACCCGGGGTGCAGCGTTGGAGCCCATGATTTGGGATAAATCGAGTGTGACAGCTGTGACTTACCCAAACGGTCACTCTGGCTTTGGAGTTATCTGGTTACAAGCACATTGCTCCTGCTTCATCCGACGCTGGGCCTTAATATAACTTTTAAATCACTGCAAAATGAACTTTGCATTTTATTCCCGTGGACCGTGAAAAAATGGCATTGCTGTATCGTGCCCTGGGATAGGGACACAGACAGCTGTTTATATCATCTACAACAAAACACACTGCAAAGCATAAAGTAAGCTGGAAAATCAATAATTGTTATTACAGTCTCTCCTGGTCTCTGGTGTGTGGGGCACTGTAAAGCCCCTGCTCAGTGCATTCCCAGCCATGCTGCCAGCAATGTGGTGTGGGAAGGAAAGGATGCAACAGGGAAACTGAGGCAGAGAACTATTTCTAAAGAGATGTTTGTGACACAGCAAAAACATCTCTATCCTCACTGCCCGAGTCCCCTGGCAGGGCATGAGGGTGTCCCAGCCTGATGGGAGCATCTCCACTGCACTGCAAGAGGCACAAGGTCACCGCAAATGATGATCTGGGGAATGTTTCTGGCAGTGATATAAACCTATTCAGCTGATGCAACCGTGCCCTGAACTGTTTTAGGGCTTTTGTGCCATGTTCCACCCGGTCTGGATGCCTTGCCAGAGCATTCTCCTCCCCAAGAGCTCCTGCCCTCCACCCATCCTCAGTACCCACAGGGCAGAGGAAAGTGAGTGGGGCCTCATGGTCCTTCTCACAGGATGCCTATCCCTCAGAGGGGGTGAAGCCCCACAGTGGAAGCTTGGGCTGGTTTCATCCAGGTGGGGTTGCTGTGTCATACTGGTACAAAACGTACCAACAGATGGACAACAGATCCCATTGATGGGCAGGAGAGAAAGGAGACATGGGCAGCAATGTCCCTAGGACAGCAGCTGGCACATCTCTGACTGCATTAATGCTTATCACGCTCTAAAAACACTGATCTGTGGATCTCACTCCACCACCCAAGCACGTTTTGGGTGAAAGAAACCACTGGAGTGCAATCCCAAGGGAGTTCCAAAGCTTGTGGCACTTGCACATCATTTTACATCAATCTTCCTTATTCTGAGGGCAATAGGAAAAAAACTACTGCTGTTTTCCTTGTCTGACCAGCGCCGATGTCCTCACCACAGGGGTGGGCTCAGGAAGGAGATGAACTCAATGGTGGAGTCCTCATCTTCTTCCTTTGCATCCATGGGGCATAACGGAGCAAGACATCATGATGGGCTGGGTCTATGAGCCACCCCTATGCCTGGCTTCACTTTTAGTGCGTGCACAGAAGGCAGATAATGGCGATTGATGTGCTTTTTCCTTCAGGTTTAGGTTTCCTGTCAGCTGAGCCACAGATAACCCATAAACACGGAGAACAAACAAACAATTAGCCTCCCTCGGACCCAGGCGCAGAGGCACTCTGCTCAGGTTTATAGCCATTTCCCAGCTTTACTGCCAAGATAAATCTTTCAGCACCCGCTGCCCAATCAGCCCCAACAGAAAAGAATATTTTGTTGGGTTTGGTTTGGGTGTCGTTTTGTGTTGTTTTTGTTTTTTTTTACAGTAGAGATTTGATTCTTTTTATATTTTGGAAACATTAAAAGAAGGGTGCAGAGAGGTGGGGACCAGCATGTAAATTATATATTGATCTGGAGGATGTGCTGGCTTAATTCTTCCTGGGGTGGGACCAGATCGAAGGCAGAACAACCTCTGCTTCCTCTGAGTTGTGGTTTCCACCATTGCTGAACCTCCATGAGCAGCATCCTTCGGCTCCAACCAGCACACTGTTGGCACACGAGTGCGTGAGGCTGAAGGGCGCTGCCTTGCACAAGCCCCATTGTCTGATTTATTACCCAGATTCATTTTCCAAAGTGAAGAAAATTAAGATAAATCTGTTTGGGATCGTGTTTGTTTTCCATTCTGCATTTCCATTAACTCCCCCAAGGTAGGTTTTTTGGTCACTGGGTAGAAATCCCTTTCATGGTATCACTGGTGCATCACTGGCACAAAAGGCTGGTTCAGTTCTGGTGGTAAATTAACCCTGGCCCTTTCTACTCCTTTTCATACAACTGTGAGTTTTGTCAAAGCTTTGTATGGCAGTTTCATTCCACGTCTTTATTGTCCAGCATGAGAGAGCTGGGAGTGCTAAATTCATTTCTGTGGTGAGACCAATAAATTCAGTTCTCCTGCTGTAAAAAATACATTAATTTTGCTACATTCCCTTTTTTAATAGGCACAAAACCACCTGGATAAATACAGGTTGCACAGAATGAGCAGCCACGGGCCCGGGCACAGAGACTGTCAGCTAAAATAAATAAGTCAGACGTTAAGAAAACAGTATATGCAGAGAAAATTCACTTTCTTCTGACTTTGGTTTTTAGCATTTTTCATTTGAGGTGAGGGAAAATGGCAAGCTCCAATAATCTCATCTACCTTAAAGACATGAAAAGGAGATGGAGAACATTCTCCGGGCTTAAAATATTTAGAGTCTTTAATGTTCGGTGTCAAATACGTTGGTTTTGAGAAATAGAATAGAGGAAGCATTAATCTCACATACTGTGTGCTTGCGCATGGAGCTTTTCCCTCATGAGAGCTTCACTGCCAGTGGATAAACCTGTGGACCATTTTTAATGGACTTTCTTAGGGATAAGCAGGGACTTCAGCCCTGTTTTTTATAGGGGTAACTTTCTACTGAACAGCAGAAGTTGGCTGGAGCTCTCTCTGAGAACAAACCCAAGATACCTATCGACATGTCAGCTCCAGGGACAGATAAACTAGAAACCCAGACAAGCCTGGGAATGTGACTGGATTGACTACACAGAGAGCACAAGGAATGTGGGCTTGGTGTTCTGTGGCATTCCCTGCTGAAACCTGGAGGAAACTGGTGATGCTGACATTGTCATTCAACCCTGAAACGCGTTGTAC